TTCTTAATAAAACAATAAAGCAATATATAGGCATTCTAGCTATAAAATATGACACTAAGACAAGAAGATGAAAACGTCAGAACAGAAATTACTACTTTGAATGCCGCAGAAAAAGAAAATTTTAGAGTTTAAATTGTTAAATTCTATACAAACATTTTTTTTAGAATAGATAGAAATGGTAAGAAAAGCAAACTTCCCTTTTGGCTTTTTCTAGAAGAATGAATAAATACTGGTTAACGACATCCATTGTCTTGTTTACCTTATAGACCACCAAAAAAAGTCTTTTTTACCTGTAATAAAAAAATTTTTACCCAATCCAGTTGTGCAGCCTGAAACTGCAATCTCGACTCAATCTGTTGTCCGTGAAGCAATCACGTACGTGTGAAGTGATCGCCGGCTCCAATTCGCTGAACCCGTCCAGTTGATTACGCATTTTATTTGCGCTTAACTATAACCCATTTGTTAAATGAGCAAAAGTTTATAACACAAAACTTTTACATAGCAACAAAGTATTTCCCATTATATATCCATACAACAGTAATAATACTTTATACACACCTTAATGCTGTTTTTTATCAATAAAACAAACAAACAAAAGAAAAAAGAGCGAAATTAAAAATGACAAAAAAAAGAGTTGATAGAAACATAGAAGAAGTGTCAAATAAGTTTGAGGTCTAAAAGTAACGAATTGTCAAAGTAAGAAAGAAAGGTGTGCTTCTTCTTTTCTTTACGTAATCTAAAAAAAGAAAATTAGCTTCAGAATTTGGACTATTTGATATTTGATACATTAACATCTAGATTTTATTGACCAGTTTTCCACGCCTATAGTACTGATGTACAACAGTAATATAAATTTTTCATAAGAGAAAAAATTTCAATTTTATAATTGAATCTAGAAAATGTAATAGATTAAATTAAAAATAATTAACTGGTAAGGCTTTTTTGTGACTCTTTGCTAAGCAAAAAAAATTCTTTATATATATATATATATATCTTACAGTAAATTCTCAGTATAGTCGGTTAATTTTTCCTGTCCAAATGGATAATACTATGTTTTGGTTTCAGAAGAAAGGCCAAAGTTCTTATTGGCAGAAAAGAAGAATAACGACTTCTGCTGTAACATCGTACTGCCGGTTGCTGTTTCTTCAATACTGTTCAATAAGAAGAATTTATCCACCTTTGGAACTACAACACCACCCAATTATACATGAAGGTAAAAAAACAAAAGAAGTTTACCTATGGTAAGTATCAGTAACAGGTAAATTTGCAAAAAAAAAAAAAAAAAAAA